TACAGTGCATTTCAATAGGAAGGAGGAGTAGGTGGGATCCGCAGCTGAGGACAAAGAAGAAGCGACCAGATCTGACCACCTTCCTAAAACGATAGAATAATCTCATCTACCTCAACACTATGTGTGAATAATTATTTGGTTTTCGCTCTCCACGCTCGAATTGTTTAATGAACACTACCAAGTTGTCACTTAGAACTGCTTAATGGCGCACTTAAGCTTTTGACTTAGAACACAACCAAGTTTTATGTTGAAACATCCCTTAATTTTGCTCTCTGTTTAGTGGGCTAGTTATATATTAGCACCCGTATAGTTATGAAAGTAAAATATCTAGGTCTATTTATCTTTACATCGTCAGTATTACCAACAGAAACATGAAAACAAAGAGTAAAAAATAATTTTAATATTCTAATTTGTGGTAGCGAATGACGTCAATGGTGACAAACAGCGTTGGAGGTGGCGGAAGATAACGCCACTAGGATTACGAGTGGTTGTTGTGAATGAGAAAAGTGGTGGCGAGATGTGAGGGACCCTCTACATATGCATCGACGTCGATGTAGTTATCGAGCGACCCTTTCATCGCATGACATCTGCATCGGCATCGTTACAGTTGTCGAGCAACGTCGCTCAACAACTACGTCGGCGTTGACATAGATACAGAACAGTCCTCACCTCTTGTTGTCACTCTCCTCATCTATAATAACCATCCGTAGCCCCCAACAACATCGTTCGTTATCACTAGTTGAGACATTAAAATTACCTTTTTACTTTTTGTTTCTGTGTCTCCATCGATGTTAGGATAAATAGAGATAGATATTTAATTTTCGTAACTATAGAGATGTCAATATAATTTTTTTAAAGTATAGGGATTGAGATACTAAAGGTATCTAATCTCACTTATCAAATCTAATTCAAAGAAGTTTGAGCTTATTAATACTTTTATGTTTTATTTAGCTCCGTGGTTCCATCATATACTTGCATTTACTTTCACATGTCAAAGTAATTTAATCTTTGATGTTTTCGATGCAATGGTTTGAATGATTACACGATTGAGTTGAGGACACGATTTAAATAATCATACTAAGGTGGGTAGGTAAGGCAAGCTGGTTGATTAAGACACCACGTGAACAGGCATGCTTGGCGGATCACGAGGAGCAAAAGATACCAAAACTTGTGGTCTCAGGCCCAGCCTTCTCCTTTGCTGCCATCGGCAGTGTGTGTCGCTCGATCATGTAGCAACGGGACCATATCTAATTTGCAGCGTTATGCATCTCAATGAGAAGACGATGGATGAAGGACAGGCAGACTTACCCGCAGTGCGTCTCGATGGCCTCGACGTGGCGGAGGACAAACCAGAGCCAGAAGACGAGGATGTGACAGGGAGCGATGGCGGGGCCGAGGAAGGCAGGGAAGCCGAGGATGAGCACCTCCGCCCAGTGGGCGTAGGGGGCGGCGAACCCCACCGGCGCCGAGAACTCGTGGTGCACCCGGTGGATGTGATCGTAGCCCCACCGGCTGTGCAGCGCCCGGTGGAGCCAGTAGTTGAAGTAGTCCTCCACCACGAAGTATACGGCCAGCTGCGCCGCCGCCTCCCACACCGACGGCAGCGGCAGCCCCGTCCGAATCCCCACCAACTGCGAACAGAAGAAGAAACGAGTCATACCTTCCATCTCCACATCGCCCGTGCGCTGTGCAAATCTGTAGTATTACGATGTAGACAACACAATGAATTAGAACAGTTTTGGACACGAAAGATAAATCCTTTATGGAGTCAAAGTTAGGACTACACAACCCCAAAGATTCCATTTTTCTTGGGAAACTTGATCTATACTTGTATATCCTGTTGCATCATGTCACGTCAATCATCGACGTGTGCTAGAGGCCGGAGTTCTTGGAAGGGATATGTAACACCACCAAATACTAATCATTCTTCAGTAGATAAGGTACAGACAATGCTACATGTGAAATGAAGAGAGGTATGAACGCATGTGAGAATGTTGTCGTTAGGGGTACCTTGATGGTGGGGAAGGAGACGAGCTGGAGAGGGCCGACGGCAAAGAGGAAGGTCTTGACGACGTTCTTGTAGCACTTGAGGACGTCGGCGACGGGGACGTGGACCTTGGGCTGGAGCTTGTACTTGTGGATGGCCTTGGGGCGCTTCAGCTCCGCCAAGGCGACGGGGAGCGGGGCGACACTGTAGACCAGGAGGAGGAACACGATGTTGTGGGCGTAGAGCCAGAAGTCATGCATGCCGGCGGAGTACTGGAACCAGACCCCCTCCACCGCCGTCAGGTTCCTCCCCAGAGCCGCCTCCGCCTCGCCGATGCTCGTAAACGGCAGCATAGCAACAGAAGCCAAGCTCAAAAAAGAGCGGAGGAGGAGGAGAGGCAGTGGAGGCTTGTTCTGAAGCAGCTGCTGTTCTGGTGGTGATCAACTCTTCTGTGATTTATAGGCAGAGACTAAGAAGACGGGCATTAGCCGGGTGACAAAAATACAAACAACAATAATAATAATAATAATAATTATTATTATTATTATTACATATATGTGACAAAAAATTATTTATACCTACCCCCACCCCCTATGTTAGCACCTGAACATATCTAAAGTAAGATTGGTTTCGTGGCCCTTCTTCCAAGGTAATTTTGATAAATCTAACATGTGATCATCATTGGTGTGAGCAAAGTGACAAAATTAACAACAACAACAACAACAACAATAATAATAATAATAATAATAATAATTATTATTATTATTATTATTATTATTATTATTATTATTATTATTATAGAAAAATGATAAAATATTATTCAAACCTACCCCCTATGTTGGCACCTCCACGTATCTAAAGTGAGATTGGTTTCGTGACCGTCCTTCTAATGTAATTTTGATAAAACTAACATGTGATCGTCCCTTTAGGGGAATTATTTGCTTTTGGCCTGTTCACACAATTACAATTTTATCATTTGGAAGCTCATAAGCTCCGAAAGACATATTTAAAAGTCTTTGATTTCCCTACTCTTCAATCAATATGGGATTAAATATTTTTATTAAATATTTATTTAACGGTTCAAATAATGTGATAGAATATTATGATAGAGGCACACATAGAATAATATCCCTGCTTCTTTATATCCTTAATCAATCAATGATTTGAGGATCAATCACATATTTGAATAGCTAATCTAATTACGTGATTTGGTTATATGAAGAAAATAAGCCGTCAAGCAAGGTGCAATAATCGGTGAGGAAGAAGAGGGGGTGGCTCGAGGCAGAGAGCACTTCATCGACAAAGATGTGGAGGGTGGAGTGACCGTGACCACAGGAAGGTGTAGCAGCCATAGGTGAGTGTAAGGAGGGCGAAGGTTGTCTTGAAGTTGGTGGGTGATTGTAGTAGATCATCGTGGGAGGGTGAATGGATATCGTAAAAAAAGTCGTCGATATAGGGAGGAAGGGAGGAAGTCGATTGTGACAAGATAGATCAAGGGAGAAGAGGCAGCCACTTGAGGGCAAAGGGAGTAGTGACACCAATGAAGAGATGCCAAAGATGACAAGTGGTGGTACTAATGGAGAGATCCCAAAGATAAAGATGCATCGTCCCAAGAGTCATAGAGGGCAAGTTGGCCATCGAAAGAGAGGACCATATCCTGGATGAAGTGGGAGTGCCCGATCAAACGTCCCCAAGGGCATAACATCCTTGGTGTGATCGAAGAAGCAACCGAAATCAACAAAAGGATCGTCGAGCAACCAGCAATGATAAAAGGATTGCTATCGTCGAACAACAAGGAAGAGAAAATCTTGCTCGAGGCAAGAGGAGCTTTAATACCATGAAAAATTAAGAAATAGATTGTAAAAGGGATAAATTTTATTCATCAAGGTGATGAGTATTTATACAAGTTTTGAGGGAGACAATCAATTACTTAAATTATATAAACAAATCAACTAATCAAATATATGATTGATAGATGATAGATTGATTGAGAATAAAAAAAATAAAAAAAAATATTATTTTATGTATATTTCTATCATGATCTTGTAGATGTAATGTATTAATAATTAATAAATATCATATAACAAGTAATAGAATATAATAATTAATAAATATCGTATAATTATCATAGAATAATTAATAATTTTTTCTTGGACAGATGTAAGCAGGTAAAAATGAAGTGTTAGCCTCGGGAAACATAACCAAAGAGACAGTCACTCCATATCTCGGGCTGAGTCAAATTAATTCGAAAAGGACGTCCTGCAGGCACAAGTTTAATGCGGCATGCAGACGTTGGGTTTTCTGTTTTGAGGTGATTCCCAAATTCCACATCTTCGGCGGACAAAACAATGTGGTTCAAACTACTCCATCACCGTAAAGAAGAACACTGAAACCAGTCCCTTGGATGGTGAAGCGGCATGTCGCTCATCAAGACACGTGATACTCTGTCATGGATTCTGCATCCATCAATCAACAATATTTCTCCCTATGATTTGGTTGGTTCCAAGCTGTCTCACATGGAACCATTGTCATCGGACACGGATCAAACCGGTTGGCCGGAAGGGGAAAAAAGGTGAACCAAACCCCTCCAATCGGTTCGATCAACCGATCGGATCACTTCAAATAAAAAAAAGTAATTATTAAAAACCAATTTGTAACATAATTAGAAATACAGACGCTAAATTGATTAGATCATTTAAATTTTGTTAACATAGTTATGCCTTTTTATTTATAACAAACAAAGAGAAATATATATAGATAAATTATGTGGTTTGACCGACAGACCCACCGACTCAACCGAACCAAATAGATCGCATGGAAAGGCTACACACTCCATGACTTAAAAAGGGCATGTTGTCCAACGTTACGAATTAAATAGGCCACATGCGACGCACGAGACATCATACCAAATAAGTTCACAACAAAAATAGCAAGCAGCTAAAAATGGATGAGTTTTACATTCCCTTATCCTGAAGGCTGCAGATATGGCAAATGGAAAGATTTTTCTGATAACTGGCAAATAAAGGATGGCAAGAAAAATATTTCCTGGTGCATATTTCCAGTACAAAGCAAAACACTTATTTGCATGCGTTGGTCCGCATCTTTACGTTACAAACTCATCTCCCGATGAAAGACTGCAGTGTGTGTAGAACTAGAAATTATTCCTCAAGCAAATCAACTTTAGTCCGGTGAAAAAGGAAAGCCGAAATCAAAACTAGGGAGTTTAACATCAGGCTCTTCCGTTTTAGTAGGGCTCCACAGGTGCTCGGAACTTTGCTCCCGCATAGACAGCTGCAGCACCAAGCTCCTCCTCGATCCTCAGCAACTGTGTTCACCGCACAAAAAGAAATGTTGTAATATGGCACATCAATCGCTCTGTAGAGAGGTATTCATATTATAATAGGGCGTGATAACTTACCTGGTTGTACTTAGCAAGGCGCTCAGAGCGGCACGGAGCTCCAGTCTTGATTTGGCCCTGTTTAAGAATCATCATCTCTCAAACAACAGACTTGTTGGAGAACAAACGATGTTTCTACAAAAATCATATGGTTCAGTGACGATGAATGTAACATACCGTAGCTAAACCAACCGAGAGGTCAGCAATAAAAGTATCTTCCGTCTCACCACTATAACAAGAGAAATCGAGTGAGAATCACGTACAGATGCTAATAAAAATTATACACAAGCTAAAAGCGTACCTCCGGTGGCTAGCCATCACTCCCCAGCCAGCATGTTTAGACATTTTGACTGCTTCAATACTCTCAGTAACAGATCCGATTTGATTCACCTAAACAGCCATGCAAATAGAATAACATTATGTTGCAAGAGGGGATACCTCCCAATGCTAAGAATCTTACATGCCATCAAGAAAACTATTCAAGCCAGGTTTTAGTAAGGATTCAAGTCTGGTACCATGGTTCATACCAATGCATGAATAATTACGGTTCTTGAAATCCTCTTACAATCGTTCATACCAACTCTAAGAATGGGTATAATTTACTGCATCCTTTCTCTCAGCACATCTTGGACTGTCCTGATTGCAGGTTCTAAGCAGCCAGCCCAACTGGTATATTTAATCAGATACAACCTCTATGTTCATCTAACTTGATTTTTTTTCCCTCATCCACAATCCTACCAGATAATTAACCTCCTAGTCCCTAAACAAAGGAACAACGATAAAATCATTAGACAATACCTTCAAAAGAAGCGCATTGCATGACTTCTCCTTTATCGCCTTGGCAACACGCTGCAGAAGTAAATTGAACAAAAGATTTCAGATCTCAAATAGGAATATTCTTAAGATACATTAGATTTTTAGTCTTTTCCTAATAGAAACTTACTGTTGGGTTGGTAACGAGAAGATCATCTCCAACAATTTGCACCTTATCTCCAATCTCTTCTGTCATCTTTGCATAGTGGGTCCAATCATCCTGATCAAATGGGTCTTCAATAGATACGATGGGGTACTCACTGACAAAAGATTTGTAGACATTTTTCAGACTGTCTCCAGATATTTTTTGAGAACCATCATTGTTCTGCAGTAACAGAGATTTTCACATCACCAGATGTAAAAATAGGCAAGAAATGAAACAAACATGAGGGAAACTTAAGATAATCCTAAGACTAAGAGAAAAAAGTACTTTAGTTAACCAACAAAAGCATTCTTACCTCCTCCTTGAAGTTGAGATCATAAGTCTTATCCTTTTCGCTATAGAATTCAGAAGCAGCAACATCCATGCCAATCACAACCTACAGAAATAGACAAGAACAATCAAAAGCTGAAATTTAGAACTCAAAACTTGTAAGGGAACACATGTACATGGAAATAAACACAAATTATAGTACATACTTTGCCGGTATAACCAGCTTTAGCTATGGCTGTCTTCAAAAGTTCAAGACCTTCCTTGTTCTCCTGGAATTGAAAAATGGATACATATGTGTGAGATCACCCCCATAGATGACAGACAGATATTTTTAACCAAAAAAAATTCTGACTTCAACTAAAACAATTCTGACAGCATGAATGCAATGTGTTGCAGGGCAAGGTGCAATTAAGCATTCATTGCCTGATGTTGTTCGCCAACTAAAGTAGGCATGAGGTTTCAAATATCATTAACAGTGCAAAAATTAACACTAAAATTACTAACCAACAAAAAGTAAAAAAATAAAATCTTAGCCAATGAGAACTTGAATCCAACTTGATCCTAAAATTTGGCAGCCTGAATTTCCACTTCCGAACATATTCATAAAGTTTAGAAATCAACAGAAAATGATTTGCCCAGGAGTATCCAAGCTTTAGAATTAAAAGCATGTATGCTGTAAGAGACTCGTATGTGTATGGTTAGACATCGACACAACGTTAGAGGAGATTTCTATCTAATAAGCCACAAAACCGACTTCAGAGGAGCAATGAAAGCTATGGCAGCAGTTTGTGAAAAAACTAGACATTACCTTTAAAACCAGAAGACAAACTATATATACAAAAATATAGTTCACAAACAGTTTATCAAGTAAACACTTGGTAAACTGTTGCCCTCACTTATTAATGCACTTAAAAAAGAGAAACAAATGTTGCACTAACTTTATTATCAGAAAATCAAACAAGTGGCCACTAAGAACTTTTTTCAGTTATTACCCTGTAAAGAAGCAAAAGTGTATAATATTGCAAGCTTTAAAAAATACAATATGGGGTAATATGAGATGAGATGTTACTAATAAATATGATCATTAATGACTTGCATAAATATAAAATAAAAGGAAAAGTGTATTTTTTACCTTTTATCTTGCCAAAAAAATACTTTGATCAACATACCTAGACTTCAATAAACTTTATCTGCTAACTTTTACAAGATACAAATAATCAGTCACAACGCTTCAGTGACATCCTTGTCCACGACCATACAGCAGCAACAAATCGGCCATACTTGTTGTCAAACTAACCCTAAGATTAGAAGAGAAAATTGCATTTGCACCAAAGCTGATGCATTGCAGTTGAAACCAGAAACACAAAAAATTGCTGCAGACTGAAAACAGAATGTCCTAGTATCTTCATCACCTAAAATAATGGAAAATATCAACACAGAGCAAGTAGAAGAGAGGCTGTTAAGCTCATGGGGTAAGGTTGCAACTTGCAGGCTCACTCCTGATGCCCGACATATTTGCTTGCTCGGCTGCTACTGCTCTAACCAGAATTTACCTGACTGATAATATATATTACAGAAACATAGTACACTCTAGATAACTGCATCTATGTAGACTCTATTTAAACATGTTGCACGAATTATGCCACATCACAAACTTAACGGAAAAGGCAGGAGGCAATCATATAAGAATCAAAATGCACAGCAGACCTGAATGTTGGGAGCAAAACCACCCTCATCTCCAACATTAGTGGCATCCTGTCCGTACTTCTTCTTAATGACAGCCTAAAAAAAGAGAATGAGTGTCAAACGATGCTCTCTGAATCAGAGTTTAGAAATTGGCAAAAATACTATGTGACAAACCTTCAGATTATGATAAACTTCCACGCCCATCTTCATGGCTTCCTTGAAAGAGGAGGCCCCCACCGGAAGAATCATGAATTCCTATTATAATAACCAAAGAAAAAAGATAAGCATAATAACTAATATTATATGCAACTGCTCAGCACATAGCTCATGGGAATAATAACCTGCATGGCCAGCTTATTCCCTGCATGTGATCCTCCATTTATAACATTGAATGCAGGCACAGGCAAAACTAAGTTCTTGTTTCCAGCAAGATTTGCAATGTGCTGCATTTCAGGGAAAGAAATACATATCAGACAATAAGAAGTTTAACCAATTACTACCAATTTCACACAACATAATCACTTTACAAACCTGATAGAGAGGAATCTTCTTCACACTTGCACCTGCTTTGCATAAAGCAAGTGATACTGCCAAAATAGCATTGGCACCAAGCTGAAGCAAAAACATCCAACCAGGATGGTGAATCATGGAAAAAGAATACAGCATGTATAAAATAATGTTTCAATAGCAGAATATTACCTTCTGTTTGCACCAGCCCCACTCGTTTTGTGTGCCATCAAGCTGCTGGACCATGAAGTTATCAATCTGAGCTTGCTCAGTAGGATCCTGCAACGTTATGCACATGAATGTTGGTTATACTACCAATGTGCAGTTTAATCTAAAGTAAAAAATAATCCAAATAAGTGCACCAAACTTATAGTCTTTTGCATACCTTGCCAATCAGTGCTGGAGCAATTATAGTATTCACATTCTCAACAGCCTGAGCCAAAAATAACGTTTAACATTATTGTCTTCTCCAACTTCATACACAATAGGAATCAAAATCCCAAAAACATTAACAAATATGATAGTTTTATTTTTAAAATAGGCTATAAGCTTCAGACATCTAAACCAAAAAGATGAATACATAATTAGTTCTACAAAAGAGATTATTAGATCCTATCACAACTAGCTTATGCAATTGTTAGGGTGCCACTCAAAAGATGGTAGAAATAGTTCAAATGCTGGCGAGAGGATACTAAGACCGAAAAACAAAAAAAAAATCAATGAACAAATGTTAAAATAGTTTCATACTCTCTTAGGGTTACTACTCTTGAGATAAATTTCGAACCAGTGAGTTAATGCTGTAAAATCATATAGGTTGTAGATTAATTTGATTGATCTAACAAGAGTCTATTAAAAGTCATGCCACAACATTTATAACTTGAGAAATCACTTGAAGGAGAGATAGAACTCTTTCAAGCAGAGAAGTCGAAACATAACCTTGAGGACACCCTTCCCAAGGTAATCCGATCCACCATCTCTCAACTCCAATGCTTCGTATACACCTTAAATATCAAAAAATTTCCAATTAGTGTGTTCTTAAAGACATAAAACAAGCAGAGGAAAACAGCTATTCAACTATAGCACTCAAAAATCGATAATCCATAACCAGAATAGACTAGCACGATCACATAATGATTATATTATTTTCACCACTTGAGATGTGCACAATAAACCAGCTTACGCAAGCAATAGCCAAATACGGTTAAGTTATCGTCTTTATCGAAGATCGAAGCCCTTGAACAGTTATCTTATCATGAAATACACCACTTTTGTATACCAAAACGACATAATCTTTGAAACAAACAGAAATAACGAAAGATCAAAGAAATGATGTGCGATCATTTACCCGTGGATGCACCACTGGGGACAGCAGCCCTGGCAAAGGTACCATCATCACAATGAAGATCCACCTGAAACAAACACAACAACCGCTTTCAGAGAGAGAAGGGGGAAGAAGAAAAAATGGGTATGGGTGCTTTTTCATCAATTCCCAAGCAGATAAATCAGATCTGACACAAGAAAATATAATTATTGAGGCATCCTTCACTGCATAAGGAGTCACAGCCAGAGATCTAAAAACCCTAAAACCCTATGATGAGTAGGAGGAGGAGGAGGAGATGGCGGATCGAAGCGAGAAGGATACGGATCTAACCTCGACGGTGGGGTTTCCACGGCTGTCGAAGATCTGACGGGCCTTCACGGACTTGATCGTCACCATTTTTTCCCTTTCCCTTTTTCTCGCTCGATCGGGACGGAGAAGGAAAAGAAGCGATGAGGCAGAGACTGTGCGTAGGTGAAAAGATGTGAGGCCGGCGAAGCATTTATAGACGGACGGATGAGAAGCCGAGCCAGGAAGAGCCGTTGGATTCGAGGAACGCGATCCACGGCTTTGACCACAGTTATCGATGATTTTTATGTCCTTTTTCCCGGCTTTTGTAATTTTCGGGCTTCTTTAAGTGTTTATTTTTGCAAAGCATTTAAATTATATGTTTACCCTCATAACAATTTTAATACACGGAAATCACTAATTAAGAATCTCCACGGTAATTATGAGTGCTTTGAGATTAGCGAGCGTATGTGATCGATCCTTTAAAGAACCACGAGGCATTTCATCAAATAAGAAGAAAATTGGGTTTATTGGCAAAAAAAGAAAAGTGGGTCCTATTAAGACTAATTATTGCGGCACGTGGGATGCGGATGCGGCGAATCCGCATCGCATCTTTGACGCAGCCCTGAGCATATTCCTTCAAAGTAACCAACGAGATATCGATGGCTTACCGATACATTCCGAACCGGTATGATCTATTCAGAGAAAAAAATCGAATGATCTGTATATTTTCTTGTCGTTACGTGTAACGTCACGAGAAGCACCCGAAACCGTTACGGAGACCATAACGGTGCTTAATGTCAATATTTCACCTTTGCTGCTTTGGAAAAAGTCAAAATTGAGTCGTATAATTTGTGGCGCTCATGCACAGATGCGGTCAACATAGTTAGGCGAGTCAACAGAAAACAGAAACAAGAAAACAAAAACAAAAAACATGGGCGGTCGCAGAAAGAAACCAGTGGCCGACGCTGAAAGTTCCACGGGTTTTGCTGCATCTCGAAGCTGGAAGCGATTTGATTTCCCACATATGTTTTCATGGGCCAGAATAGATTTCCATGGTCTCTTGATCAATACTTCTTTATCCACGATGTCATATGTTTTGATAACGAATAAATTATTCATTTTAATTATGATAATTAGATTTAAAAATTTTATATTAAAATTTCTATAATCAAATCTTTCGGCCTTTATATTTAAAAAATTTATATTAAAAATTTTATAATTATAAAAATAAAATATTTAATCTCGTTTATCTTGACATTATCAATTTTACTGACGAAAGATGTAGATCGAATTGAAATTATATTTCTTTTTTATCATTTATCATCGCATCGTTCTTGTTGATCATAACCACAATACTCAGTGTTATTGTATGTTATTACTATTTAACATTACCCCCTCAATAGAGATATTCTGAACTAATTTCATCAATGGTTTAGTTTTGATTCGGGATATCATTATTTAATTTAGTTTATCTAAACTGAATTGAATAAATTTTAATTAAAGAGATATTAATCTAAATTGATTATCCTAACTCCTTAATCGTTCAAACTGATTAATTAAATCATCTCAAAACTTAATATTAGAAATGATTTGAGCTTAATTTTATAAATCTTTTCATGTCGTCCAATTAGATTAAGATATCTGATTTAATTGAATTGAACCGATTTATTTAAAAAAATATATATTTAAAAATATTTTAAATTATGAATTAATTAATCGAACCGAATTAATAGTCTTTGAATCAATTAAATCTGAATGTTCAGAGTATTTTGCTTTTAATCAAATTAAATAAAAAAACCGATTCAGTTCGGAGCCTTAAACGGTTTGATTCGAACCGGTTTCCCCGAGTCAACCTCATCCAAGAAAGAAGCCAATCGGTCGAAACAGCCTCTGCACGCGCTCAAATCCCATCATCTCCAGCGACTTCAAGAGAGAGATCGATCGACGCCGGCCGGAGAAGCAAACGAAGGTAGAGATGGCCGCCTCAACCCTCTCCCTCCTCCCAATTCCCACCAAGATCGCCTCCTCCCTGCTGCCGCCGTCCAACCCCCGCGCTGTCCGCCTCTCGAGCTCTCTCCTCGCCGGCTCCATCTCCCTCGCGCCGCCCTCGCTGTTCCGGAGGCCGAGTCTCCGCTTCGCTGCCGTCGTCTCCTTGCTCCCCACAGCGTAAGCCCCCACTTCATTCCTTCCATTGGATCATTTCGATTCTTATTAGCTCATCTTTGGATCAGGAAACCGGAGAGAGCGTCGGCGGAGAAGATGCCCAAGTAAGCTATAGAGGTCCCTGGTCTTTGTTCTTGTTGTGGCTTTCTTTTGATGATTGGTTGCCTAGTGCTTCGATAAGGGTTGTTTTGGGTAGTAGTAATGGAATTAGTAATGAATGGGACAGATGGTCGTCGATGGCCGTAAGGGCCTTTGGCATGGCGGAATTGGAGGCGCGGAAGCTCAAGTACCCCAAAACAGGGACGGAGGCCCTCCTCATGGGCATCTTGGTTGAAGGTCAGTTAGATCTCTGACTTCCCTTTCCATACTTGTGTTATCAAATGCAATCTAGTAGTTACCTTTATTTCTGCAAGAATTACTTGCTACATATTCTTTGAGAAAAAAAGAAGACATAATCATCTTGCAACTCTTCCTGCAAGTCATGTACGTTGACAATTGTTGTGGAAATATTTCGTTGCTAGCAGAGTACATTTTTTCTCTCATTACCAAACATGCAGCTCACATGTTTGTTCAAATGTTAGACTGATTATCTTTTAGGATATTTATGTTGGTCAAACATTGCGTTGCGAAGCATGTATATTACCGCATGGTATAATACTATGTTGTCATATACTAAGTGTCCAAGTATGTCAACTAGCACATGAATGGGGATGGTTATGTACTGTGCCAGCCCATGGGTGGCAAAGACCCAGCACAAAATATATTGATACTCAATGTTGTTGTTTCAAATCCATGATTTAGCTTCAAGTCTTGGCTGTTTTGACAATCCAATTTCTACTCAGGTGCCAGCCTGAAGTTCGTCTAGTGGCACAAGTATATGCACTACACTCACCAATGTTTGAATTCTGAGTATGAACTCAAATTCTTTTGGGTCAATCTGGCGATTGGCTGAAACAGACAAAAGTTGTTTAAAGAATCTTGTTCATAGTTTTCATTATTGAGTTTGCTGAGTTGATTTTGATCACGGATAGAAACTCAGGTTTGGTGAATTTAAAGCAGTCGTGAAACTAGATAAGTAGTAGTTTCAGGCGATTATGTTATGTTTTACTATTTCAATTGTAAGATATTTAAAAAAATTACTGCATTAATATTTTGGAATAACTAAGTTTAGTATCAAATAATCCATTTAATACTTATGAATTTACTTGATCAGAAGAAAGAGTGAAAGAGATAATCCATTTAATAACTAAGTTTAGTATCAAATAATCCCTAGATCATGATTTTGTGAAGCCTCAGCCATCTAGGATGTCATATATTGTTTTATTGGAAATCAAGATTTCAATGCCTTAATCAACATCTTTGTCTAGTGTCAAAGGTCAAACAAATACTTTCAGACTCTAGCTTGTGGTTGACTTCCATAAAAGATCTAAATGTAGAGGTTAAAACATCTAAAAATTAAGGGTTGTTAGTCGTTTGTTTCTTACTCATGCCTATTTCTTTTAGTCTTTTTGTTTAATTTAGGTTTTCCATTTTTCAGTACTTGCAAAGCATATCATGTGAGATTATTTGTCTTCTTTCGATAAGAATTTAGCTAATTGGTGCTTTTCTTTTGTGATTGAAAGAAGCTTATACACTTTGTTAAGTAGCGAAGGTATAGATCTCCTTAGGAATATCTATCTTTGGTTAAACTTGTTAGATGATCTTGGTTAGTCTGAGTCTGAAGAAATATGGAAATAAGGGATGCATTGAATTTAAAAACCTATTAAAAACTAGTCAAATAACCTGCATCAATATCAAATCAAAGAATATACAGATTTTTTTACCAATAGCTTCTTACATGAGTAGAATTTAGGAGATGTCAACCAATTAGTTATAAATATGAAAGGTTGATTTGTTTTAAGAATGCTCTTAAATTTTTTTGATAATGCATTATTTGTCACTTTTTCTGTCTCAACCTGTACAAATTCCTGCCTCTGCCAAAAATATGTTTATAAAGTGTAGTAAAACAACACAATGTGTGTTTTTATCCCATATAACTTAACTATGGTCTTGCTTAATGGCAAACTATATCTGTATTAATATTTTTGGTTTGTTTGTATGCATGTCACTTGGCTTCTGCAACAAAAACTTCTTAAATGGAACTGAGAAAGCAATCCTGTGGTTTGTGCAACTCCAACCGTAGGCTAGAGAAACAAATGTTGATATCTTGCACCTTGATCCTATTATTCGACGGGATAGATTATTTGTCAAAGAGGAGAAGCAATGAAAATGTAGGATAATGTTATTATCGCTGTTAGATCTAGCTAGCTCTTCAGCCCTGTCTTTTTAGGGAAATAACTTTGTATGCTCACTTCATGAGTGATAGCTTGCCAATTAAGCTTCAAAGATGGGGCTTACATTCTCTATTCTGAGCTCCATTTGCATGATAGAATTGTTCCTGTGTGCTGTCTGATAATGTAATACTATCTCCTGATTTGGTTAGTTTGTAGCTCATTTAAGAATCCTTAACTAATGGATGTTCGTTAAGTAATTAATGTATGCTTGGTCTTTCTCTCAGGAACAAATGAAGCATCAAAATTCTTACGTGCAATTGGAATTACTCTTTTTAAAGTGCGTGAAGAGGCTGTAAAGTTACTGGGTAAGTCGGACCTGTTCTCTTTTAGCCCTGAGCATCCTCCCTTGACTGAATCAGCACAAAGGGCACTAGATTGGGCTGTTGATGAGAAATTGAAATCTGGTTAGTTGGTTAGTTTGAACTTTGATTTCTTGTATTACTTGATCCTGTTTTATAATTAATTTATATATGTCACCATAAAGTGAGCTTCCTTTGACTGTGTTTGCCTGAACCTGCCCAGAGCATCAAGCAGGAAACTGATGCTGAGTTTCTTAGGCATCACTTGGCCTGACTCGACTATGGTTACCTTTATGCTGACAGCTTAAGGACCTAGTATGATCCTTGTGACTAGCCTATAAGATCACATACAGTTTTTTATTTTTTTTATTATTTTCTTGCAATGTTCTTAAATCATTTTGGTATGGAAGTTCCTGCATGGCTGATTGGGTTAGGTTGCCTTGAATTTGCATTCAATAGTGATCAACAACTTGTATGTATCATTTCATACCTTTTTCTTAATCCATTTTTGCCACTGTTCTTTATGAGACTTTAGCTGTTCATAAAGTTAATCAATTGGAATTTAGCATCCAGGCTCTGAGCCAGTTACAATTATGTTACACTATAGTTGGTGAACGGGTAAATTTACTGCGTGTGGTAAGTAGTTTAGTGGAACGTGTAATTGTGGATTTGAAAATTGTTGATTTTTTTAAAGTGATCAACTCTTTCTCTGCCAACTCAAATCCAGCCAGGCTTGGATTAAGTTTTGTTATAATGGTAGCAGGTGAGGATGGAGAGATAACCACTGCACATATGCTTCTGGGCATATGGTCTGAGAAAGAGTCAGCTGGTTACAAGATATTGGCTTCCCTAGGCTTTGATGATCAGAAAGCTAGTGAGCTGGCTAAGTCTGTGAGTATCTAACCTGTCCTCTTTTGAGTAAATTCACATGGCAGTTTGTTCTTAACAAGATTTGGCCTTTGCTTTCAGGCCAACAAGGATGTGGTCATGAACTCCCGATAGATGTTGTATAACACTAAGAACTGGTTCAGAGCTTTGACATGTATGCCAACTAGAATTTCCGCCTTTTCAAGGAGCTGATTGATTCCTAGCAATTCAGTTTCAGCAACTGCAAACAAGGTTAGAACATGGCCTTTCCTCATCATGGTGGTGGGCAGTGCCTGTTTTAGTTTCCCCTGGATTCAACACACATTTATAATGCTTGATATGAATGCTTCTCTCAATCTGGTAACCCACTACTATGGGTGAGGAGACACTTTTGACTTGGTATCTGGCTTTGTTGCAGAAGACAAACTGTAATTATTTCCCCATTGTAATTCTACACCAACCATCCGTGTTATTCTTGCAATTGACTTCATCGTTGGTGGTCAAGATAGCAGCAACTGTCGTGTAGGCACCGTTGGATGATGATGATGACAGAGTTAGCTTCTTTGATGTGGGCTCATCCGTTGGATATGGTGTCCACCTAACTAACGTGTAACATGTTTCCCTCTCTATCTCTCACTAACGCATGCAACATATCAAGACAGACTGTATTATTGCATCGATGGCCAACAAACAAAAGGGGCCATCGAGCCACCAACATCGTTGTCGAGTCGAACCGTTCCTCCGTGAGTTGGGTGGAAGCTTTGACGAATTCTGCCCTCTACATGGAGATGGATGAAGTATTCGATTGGGCCACAATGGTGTGGTGAAGACCTCCTCCAGCCCATGGCCGTTGTCCCTTACACTGAATACTCCTTGGTTCCCAATCGACACAGTAATATGTGGCATCATCAACTCGCATCTACATGTGTTACAAGTTAAATCGATCTTTTAGACAGCAGCAGCACTAATTATTCTCTAGTATAAAGAAAAGTAGCTGCATCACATGATGTCCATTTCGTATATTAAGAAAAAAAGAAAAGAAAAGCATCTACGCAGCAGCCCAACGCCACGCGAGATCAATCATATTCTTGGGCGCAATTTTGTACGAGTGTGACACAGTTACGCACATGTAAAGCCTTGTGCACCAGATCTAAAGCCCTCTCCAGATCCGGCATCGTTTCCTCTCCGACCCGCCGCCGCCTCCTACCGCCCTCGTTTCGATCAGATTCTGGGGGAATGGCTTCTCCGGAAGCCGATTCCCGCCTCCCCCTCGTCCTCGCACCCGCCCTCGAGAAGATCGTCAAGAACGCGTCCTGGCGCAAAGGCCACTCCAAGCTCGCCCACCAGTGCAAGTCCCTCATCGATCGCCTCTCCCACCCTCCGCCTCCCCCCTCCCCTTCCTCCCCTAACTCCTCCTCCTCCCTCCCCGGCCCCCTCCGCGACGGCGGCTCCGCCGTTTACTCCCTCGCCGACTCGGAGATTTTCCTCGCCCCCCTCATCGCCGCATGCTCGTCTGGCTCCCCCCGCGTCGCTGAGCCCGCCCTCGACTGCGTCCAGAGGCTCGTCGCCCACTCCTACCTCCACGGCGAGGCCGACCCCGCCGGCGGCCCCGACGCTCGCCTTCTCGCCCAGCTCATCGATGCCGTCTGCGGCTCCCTCGCCCTCAGCGGTGGCGGCGATGACGCCCTCGAGCTGCTCGTTCTCAAGACCCTCCTCTCTGCCGTCACATCCACCGCGCTCCGTATCCACGGTGACGCCCTCCTCCAGATCGTCCGCACCTGCTACGACCTCTATCTCGGTAGCAAGAACCCCGTCAATCAGACAACCGCCAAGGCGTCGCTCATCCAGATGCTCGTCATTGTCTTCCGCCGCATGGAGGCCGATTCCTCCACCGTCCCCGTCCAGCCGATTGTCGTCGCCGAGCTGATGGAGCCCGCCGATCGCTCGTCCAACGCTGCTGCCGCGGACGTCAGCTTCGTCCAGGGGTTCATCACCAGGATCATCAGTGACATCGATGTGGTGCTGAACCCTTCCACTCCGCTGGCCCGTACTGAGTCTGCCAGGAAACACGACGGGGCGTTCGAGACCACGGCGGTCGAGAACACCAACCCTGCTGACCTTCTGGACTCGACGGACAAGGACATGCTGGATGCCAAGTATTGGGAGATCAGCATGTACAAGACAGCCCTGGAGGACAGGAAGGATGAGCTGGGGCCGGAGGGAGTGGTGGACAGAGATGATGAAGCAGAGGTTCAGATTGGGAACAAGCTGAGGCGTGATGCCTTCCTGGTGTTCCGGGCCCTCTGTAAACTCTCCATGAAGACTCCTCCGAAGGAGGCAGTGGCTGATCCTGCACTCATGAAGGGAAAGATTGTGGCTTTGGAGCTGCTCAAGATTTTGCTAGAGAATGCAGGAGCTGTGTTTAGGACTAGTGAGAGGTACTTGCTTGGTCACTACTGTTCCACTTCATGTTCTCCTTTTATGTGCTTCTTTCCTAGTTTCTACCTTTTCTAGTAAGTTTTTGTTTAACATGTGTAATTTGCTAGGTACACCTTTGATCCTAATAGAAGTAATTACTCTATCATGCATATCAGATATTATGTCAATGCAACTACTAGATAATCATTATATTTAAAACCCACCAAAATAAATTTCTAGAAATCTTGTTACAGTCTTTTAATAGGTGAACAAGTACCATTATGTAAATCTTTATTCTTCTCTCTACATGCTTCTACTAGTTGTCTCAATAAATAAATAGTTTCTGGATTGATATTTCAGGTATGAAACCAATTATAGGAAATCTGTCTTTTATTTTTCTTTTCATAGCACCATTTCATAATTTTTATGTTATTAGTTAGTTTCTTTGATAACTGGAGCAATTTTGAATGTCTTCCTTATTAACGAAAGTCTTCTCCCACATTTATCAAACATCTATTAGTTCTCAAAATACTGTTGAATAAGCTAATCAATCAAAGTTACAAGCTATCCCGTTGATCTTTGAATCTCTTTTAAACTTTAATGGGACTGTCATCTCTGACTTTTTGTTCTTTTGGGATCTTCCTTCACCTAATTCACTTTACTTTTACAAACAAAAGTATGATTTCTAACCTATCACTTATTTTCTAATTTTCTAAAGCTAAATTCTGCATAGAATGTAACATAATCCATAAAAATAAATCTTCAATGGGATTGTGATTAACTTGATGATCTGCCCAAGGACAAGAAGTTCGGAATAGGTTTTTTCCATGTGTCGTCGATTTCGGTGGCTTTTCAACTGATCGTTAATTTGCTATTAAAAATCATGCTGCATCTTAGGTAGTCTCCAGTGTCACCTGCTTTGCAAGTTGCAACTTGTTTGAGGAAAATAGAACTTGCATGAGTATATAGCATGAGAATTTCGAAGTAGTTTACATGGGTGAAAGATACACTCAACTTTCAGATTCTAATTTCCACATAAACACTGTGCATTTTTTTGGCAACTGATGTTACATTCTGCTGAGATGATTGTATGCTTGTATTCAACTTCAACCCTTGATTAGCATACATTGATTGAGTACTTTAAAATTGAATGTCAATATTCACTGTTATTATTTCTTGTCTGTCAAATTTTACATAGCTTGTTTTCAATATCATATTAAACTGGATTGACATGCCCCAACCTGATGAAATTTCCTTCAATCAAGCAGGTTTTTAGGTGCTATTAAGCAGTATCTATGTTTATCCCTTTTGAAGAACAGTGCTTCAGCTCATTTGATTGTTTTTCAGCTGTCGTGTTCCATTTTTATGAGCTTGGTATCAAGATTTAGACCAGGATTGAAGGCAGAGATTGGAGTTTTCTTTCCGATGATTGTACTTAGAGTTTTGGAAAACGTTGCTCAACCGATTTTCCAGCAGAAGATGATTGTGCTTCGTTTCTTGGAAAAGCTTTGTGTAGATTCTCAAATTTTGGTGGACATATTCATTAATTATGACTGTGATGTTCACTCTTCAAATATTTTTGAGAGGTATGTGATCTTCATTTTGATGTGTTTGGCACACAAGCTAACATTGGCAGAATATAATCATAAGCAAATGACCATCTGCATTTGTTTCCCATTTTCCTTGTTTTGTTAGGATGGTAAACGGTCTGCTTAAAACTGCTCAAGGGCCTCCCCCAGGGGCTCCCACAACATTGGTACCACCACAAGATGTTACAATGAAGTTTGAAGCTATGAAGTGTCTAGTGGCAATTTTGAGGTCAATGGGAGATTGGATGAACAAACAATTGAGAATTCCTGATCCTTACTCCCAAAATACAGAAACCGCAGATGGCAATACTGGTGGTAGTAATGAACTTCCTCTGGGAAATGGCAACAGTGAGGAGCCTGCTGAAGTAAGTGATTCTCACTCTGAAACAGCAAATGGAACCTCAGAAGTTGCATCTATTGAGCTGCGTAGGGCTTACAAACTAGAACTTCAGGTGCTCATCTAACATGGGTTTGATTTTTGTGGTAATTTTAATGCAATTATCTAACATGAGTTTGTTAAGTTCTTTTAATGCAATTATAAATTGCAGGAAGGTATTTCACTTTTTAATCAAAAACCTAAGAAAGGCATTGAATTTCTTATTAATGCAAAGAAGGTGGGTGACTCACCTGAGGAAATAGCTGCTTTCCTGAAAAGTGCATCGGGCTTAAACAAGACTTTAATTGGTGACTATTTAGGAGAGAGAGAAGATTTATCCCTGAAAGTCATGCATGCATATGTGGATTCATTCGATTTTGAAGGGATGAAGTTTGATGAAGCAATCAGGTGTTTCCTACAAGGTTTTAGATTGCCTGGTGAGGCACAAAAGATTGATCGCATCATGGAAAAATTTGCTGAGCGCTACTGTAAGTGCAACCCTAAGGCTTTTACAAGTGCAGATACAGCTTATGTGCTTGCTTACTCTGTAATAATGCTCAACACCGATGCTCATAATCCGATGGTGAAAAACAAGGTCTATCCTTTGTTTGCAAAAACTCATTATATGCTTGAATTTCTGTAGGTTATGGAGCAATAATGCAAATATTCTTGTTTATGCAGATGTCACCAGATGACTTTATAAGAAACAACCGAGGTATTGATGATGGAAAGGATCTGCCAGAAGAATATTTGAGATCCCTGTATGACAGAATTTCCAAGAATGAAATCAAGATGAAAGAGGATAATTTGGCTCCTCAACAAATACAATCTTCAAATTCAAACAAGATTCTTGGCTTGGATGGCATTTTAAACATTGTGATACGCAAGCGACATTCATCAACAGAGACTAGTGATGATATGATCAGGCACATGCAAGAGCAGTTTAAAGAAAAAGCTCGCAAATCTGAGTAAGTGTTCAAACAAAATTCAAATTTTCCTATAATAGTTTGATCCTTGGTTTTGCCAATATATTAGCAGGTTAATGTTAAAAATTTGTATAAAATATATAGTTCAAGTTGCTTTATTTGTGAATATAGGTCAGCATATTACTCTGCAACGGATGTGGTAATTTTAAGGTTTATGATCGAGGTATGCTGGGCCCCAATGCTTGCTGCCTTTAGTGTTCCTCTTGACCAGAGTGACGATGAAACAGTCATATCGTTATGCCTCGAAGGATTTCGTAGTGCGGTCCATGTTACAGCAGTAATGTCTATGGAGACTCAAAGAGATGCTTTTGTTACTTCACTCGCAAAGTTTACATCCCTTCATTCAGCAGCAGATATCAAGCAGAAAAACATTGATGCTATTAAGGTTTGTTTTTAAGTTCCATAGGTTTTTATTTTTAGTCGAAAAAAAATGTTTTTTTAAGAAACTTTTCTCTTAAGCTTATGTACTTTCAGAGTATATGTATATATAGTTGCATGTGTTCCTGAGATTGAACTCAATCTTTGATGACATTTACTTATTATGGTTTGCTCCTTGATGTTGACCTTTTTTTTTCCTTCTCATAGTTTCTTTTTCAAAATAGCTTTAGATGATGTTAAACTTTATCAATGGTGCTCTTATTAATGCTTCTGGTTGTATCCTACAAGACATTGATTTCTTCAAATTGCATTTACCAAATATGAGAAAACCTTGATGTCTATATGGTGCATATTTTAGATTGTAGACACTAACTTGGAAGGAGAGCACATAAGCACTTTTCACCTGATGTAGACAGTTCAAGTGGATCAATCATAGACATACTCAATTTTTTGTCCTGTAATATGAATTCTTTTTTATTATTACGCTGGGAAAAATATGATGAGCATAACATTTTAAGCTTCTTTTCGTATGTTCTTTTTTCCTTGTTAATGTCCTAAACTTCTAAAAATGTATAATATTATTAGTCACAGCCATGAGTGGCTTAAAATCCAGAGATTGATGAGTAACATAATACCAGAAGATGATGTTGGCCCTCAAGAAAAATAAAAAATCTTCCATTATGATGCTATCTTTAGATAGAAGGCCATGGTAACAAATAAGTTTTAAGATGACTATTTGTTGGTTGGATCTGGTGAATTACAATCTCGATGTTTGAGCAGCATTATGAGCAGCATTATGTTTTCCCAAGTTCACAACATGCATATATTGGAAGTATTGTTTAAGCAAACTAATTAAAGCCTCAAGTCATGTACCATTAGAGTATAATCTGTTTCATCTTAATATAGCTTGTGGCCTGAGCATGAGATCCTGGGTACAATCTTGGTCTTCTCATTTTTAAGATATTAAAGATATTTATTTTAAAGTCCAGTAGAGGAACTATGGCTTGTTATACATTGATAATCTACATCACTGTTCAGATAAGTTATGTCTTGCTAGAGCAATTTTAGCAAGTTGTTAACACAGTATATAGTTAACTAAGAACATCATCTATTTACTTATAGAATCATTGTTCAGTATATACTCTAATTATGGGTGCCTGCAATGAATCTAGCATTGAACATCCAGAGATTTTTCAAATGAACTCATCTCCCATTTCTATTTTAGATGACAAAGCAACATGACATGGGCTGGCATACAAGTCTACTTTTCATAAAAGTAGAGAGAGAGAGAGAGAGAGGGGGTTTTATGTAATAACCTTGAACCGGAATTGAACTGCATGAAATGGGCTGGTCTGCTGTCTGGGGCTTTGTTGGACCGATGTTTACTGCTTGGTTCATACCAGTCCTGGTGGTTTTTCAAACCCTGGTCTTAGCAAGTACAAGAGATTCAGCAATTCTTAGTCGACAACTCCACATTTTGACCCCAAGGTTGATCCTTATTTTGGTGCCTCTTAAAGTTCTTTCCATATATAAACAACCATTCTAACAGAACAAGGAGAAAGCATTAGGTTCAATAGATATGTAAACAAAAAATAAATCTAAGCCAACATCAAGGAAGATTCAAGACTGGTTTGGTCTGAAGGGTACAGTTAATAGCTAGCTAAAAGGTGACTGTCCATCAAAAGTTTTGTTAACTCACTGGGTCCTGTCTGCCGCTGGTACCGCCATGCTAATACACATGTTGAGTTGCACCTTCATTTTTTTTCTTTTGCTGCATTAATCACTGCAATTTGGGACAAAGAAACCATCAAGATTAGTTCTTTGACATTTGAGTTATCTTTTTGTATGCTTGTATGTGAAATAATTGGAATGTATGGGTTCTATCTTCTCACAGTTTCTAAAATCTATTGCATTCAGTTAACTGCAATTTCAATGGCTTTCTGAAGCTAATTTTCAGAAATTAAGATGACTTATCCTTTTTGTAAAATGTTTCCAGGCTGTTTTATACATCGCAGATGAAGATGGTAACTACCTTCAAGAAGCTTGGGAACATGTTTTGACATGTGTTTCTCGGTTTGAACATTTGCATCTTTTGGGAGAGGGAGCTCCTCCGGATGCCACATTTTTCACAATACAACAGACTGAACTTGACACATCTAATCAAACCAAATCATCAATCCTAACTACAACGAAGAAAAAAGGACCTTCATCTGTTGTTGCCAGAAGAGGTACCTATGATAGTGCTGGGGTCAGTGGTCAGGCTTCTGGAGTTGTTACATCTGAGCAGATGAATAATTTAATTTCCAATTTGAACTTGTTGGAACAAGTTGGAATTGCTGAAGTGAATCGCATATTTGTACGAAGTGAAAAGTTAAACAGCGAGGCAATAATTAATTTTGTTAAAGCCCTCTGTAAGGTTTCAATGGAGGAACTACGCTCTGCATCTGATCCTCGTGTTTTCAGTCTGACAAAAATAGTCGAGATCGCGTAAGAACTTACCCTCATTTTATTCTTTATGTAGAATGCATAAGAATTACCCTTATTTTATTATTGATGTTGCATATATCAATTTAGCACCTGTTTGATTGATTTCTTTTGTACAGACATTACAATATGAACCGTATCAGGCTTGTGTGGTCAAGCATTTGGAGTGTGTTGTCTGAATTTTTTGTTACCATTGGCTGCTCTGAGAACCTTTCAATTGCAATCTTTGCAATGGATTCCTTGCGTCAATTGGCTATGAAATTCTTGGAGCGAAAAGAATTGGCCAACTATAACTTCCAAAATGAGTTCATGAAACCATTTGTTATTGTTATGAGGAAAAGCAGAGCTGTCGAGATCAGAGAGCTGATCATCAGATGTTTCTCTCAGATGGTGTTGGCTCGTGTTAGTAATGTCAAGTCTGGGTGGAAAAGCATGTTCATGGTACTTATTTTCCTCTTTCTGCTAATTTTAGATTGCTGGAAAGTTATTATTGCATTCACTTGTTGTATGACTTAGATGTTGTATTTGTCTTATTGAAGTTGATCGAGTTAACAAACTGATTGGTATATATTGCAGGTATTTGCAACTGCATCATATGATGATCACAAAAATATAGTCCTTCTGGCCTTTGAGATCATTGAGAAGATTTTACGGGATTACTTCCCCTACATAACTGAAACGGAAACAACCACCTTTACTGATTGTGTTAATTGTTTAATTGCATTTACTAATAGTAGGTTTAACAAAGACATTAGTCTCAATGCAATTGCTTTTCTTCGGTTCTGTGCGGCTAAGCTTGCAGAAGGAGATATTGGTGCTTCTGCAAGATACAAGAACAAGGAGGCTTTTGTGAATAATGGTCCCCCTTCACCACACATTATAAAGGATGAAAAACAAGATACTCCATTGATCATTGACAAGGATGACCACCTACACTTATGGTTTCCACTTTTAGCAGGTGACATACATTTTTTTTGCTTATTCTATATGATTAAAAACACATCTATGATACTTCTTATGTGTTTGGTTGTAATTGCTAGTGCTACATTTAGGGAAGCTGTTTACAAGTTAGCAAATAATATTGTCTCAAGGATTATCCTTTCTTTCTTTTGCAGTTTTATCGGAACCTTTTATTAAGCAATATTTTCTCAAGGATTCTCTTTTCTTGCTTTTGCAGGTTTATCGGAACTCACTTTTGACCTAAGACCTGATATTAGACAAAGTGCCTTGCAAGTGCTATTTGATACATTACGAAATTGTGGTCATCATTTTTCATTGCCCTTATGGGAGAAAGTGTTTGATTCAGTCCTATTCCCTATATTTGACTCTGTAAGACATGACGTTGATACCCCTAGGGGAATTCCACAAGGACAAGGGTCAGAAAATGATACGGAAGAGCTCGATCAAGATGCTTGGCTTTATGAAACATGCAAGCTGGCTCTTCAGTTAGTTGTGGACTTGTTTGTGAAATTTTATGACACAGTAAATCCACTTCTGAAAAAGGTTTTGACATTGCTGACAAGTTTGATTAAGCGTCCTCATCAAAGCCTTGCTGGCATTGGCATTACAGCATTTGTTCGCTTAATGAGCAGTGCAGGGCCTTTATTTGTTGAGACCAAGTGGGAGATTGTTGTTTTGTCTTTGAAAGAAGCTGCTAAAGCCACTCTCCCTGATTTTTCATATATTTCATCTGGAGCTCATCTTGATAATGCAGCATCAGACAATGGGAATTCTCCTCTGATGCAAGAGAATGGTGAATCTAGGGGATCAATAGATGATGATTCAGAAGGCCTGAGAACGAGAAATTTATATTCTGCAATTGGTGATGCCAAGTGTCGTGCTGCCATTCAATTACTTTTAATCCAGGTCAGTGACTCTCTCCCTATGATGGCATTTGCTACTTGATTATGGATCTTGTTAGAAAATGGGAAAGCATCTTAATCTCTGAGGTTAATAAGCTTTACAAGGTGGGAGAACAGATCACTTACCCTTCTACTAGATGTACTTAGTAACTTGGAGAAGATAGAGAAATGATATGAGGAGGGAATAAAGACAAGAAGGGCAAATAATAAAGCAAAAAACAAAAGAAAGGCTGACGCTCTAATGGGAAATAAGCAAGGATATTAGGTAATATGACTAGATATTATGAGAAACTAAATGCTATATTAGTTTTGTGCAACAGTTCAACTACAATTTCATCTCCAATTATTTTCTTTTGATTTAGGCCTCAAAATAATATTCATTTATCATGTTATTCATATATGCTTAATATATGAGAGGTTTTTGACTATTTGATGGGTTTGTTTCCTAGATATTCACAAAGCAATATTAAGTAGCTCATATACATTTGTTGACTTTATTTATTCATGTATATTCACAAATTCGAAGGCACAATCGGATAATGTTTTCTGCACTTTAAGTTAAGATACAAACAACTGCATACATACTATGGATTTTTATGGTACTTTAGTTTATTGCTTATGTTTAAACTATTTGATATGATACTACAGCACAATTCATGATGAGGCCCCATGTTCATGTTATCAGCATTTTTCGGTGCTTGCCCGTTGGAGAGTTTTATTTGTAACAAGAATGTTGGCCAGTTAAATCAGATGGGCAACCAGAGAGATGGTAGCTAAATGTGCAGTCTGGCTTAGTATTTGCTAATAGCTCAAGCTTGACCAAGGCTGGATTGGTCTGTACAACCCCGTTAAAGGGGTCTCAAATTTTCTTACATCTTCTCCTCTCGTACCTCGTCCTCTTTCACCTTCTTTTCATGCCTGTCATTACAGTGATAGTGTCAGGGTGAAACTTCTCAGGTTCCTTTGTGCTCCTTGACCTCACCTTTAACTTCCATTTCTTGAATGATACTGTGGAAATTGGTCGGATCTGCTAATAGCAATCCATTTTGGCTGAATTTGGTCAATTTTCAGCTAGTTCAGTCAGTGCTTTGACAGTCTAGCCTAGAAATTGTCCAAGATTGGTTCATGCTTAGTTGATTTTCAGCTGGTTCCAACAGGGTTATCCTGTTCTGGAATCTGCCACCTTTTTTTTCGCTGAGAACAAACAAGGTGGAGTACAAGGGAAAATAGGTAGTTGGAGGATGAGGATATATTGAGAATAGCAGGCGTCTAGTAGCCTAATTTAATGGGGTGTCTCTCAAAGAAGTAGGATGTTGATCGAGGACGAGGGTTTGTCAAGGTTGCCTTTGAGGATGGATAAATGATGGGTTGCTGGAAAAGGTCATGTAGGCCAAGTTGCCAAGCTGATATATGGTTGGCATTTTTGAAAAGGAGGAGTCAAAGCCAGCTAAAGCAGGTGAGGTGGAGAGAGAATTTTTATATTAAATTCATCTAGTCTTTTCTATTATCATTTGGGAAAAAAATTTCAACCCTTTTGGTTGCTTAAGGATGCAGACAAATGGAGGGACAATTGTAGATCGTGAAGCAGCATCCTAACCATGTGCATTAGGAAGCTACTTATTCTAATAGAATTTGGCATACCTTGTAAATATATGCAAACTACAGCTTTAATCTTTATCAAAATCCAATTCACAAAGGTTGGATTAACTGATTCTCTTGTCTATTTCTGTTCATGATTATGTGTATTGTTCAACTTAAACAATTTGATCAGGTAGTGCAGGTTGTTACAAAATGGTATTGATGTGGAGTGGGCCTATCACCACAATTGCATATGTATGTGTCTCTCCTTGGACATGATTATAAACATTAGAACTGAGCAGTGGACCTACCAATTAGGAAGATGCTGTTCTCTATAACTAAATCGATTAAAAATTGCAATAAGGGTTGTTTTTCTCATTTATCACAGAATGATCACTTGTCTTCAACTTAATAAGGGTTAGGTGTTTGCGTTTAATTTTCTTTGTTGTTGTTGATAAGATCCCAGGGCTGTTGAATGGACTCTGACTTATGCAAAGTCATCTTCTAAATCAAATTCAATTACTTTTGAGTAGGGTTGTTAATTCCAAACCAAGCCTGTTGGGTCAACCCGATTGGACATGGACCCGACTTGTTCAAATTGAGACATTGTCTGGTCCAAGTCAAGGCCTAATGACCCTCTCAGTCAGGTTTTTGGCTTCTGGTGAGGCCTTCTTGACCCATTTTGGTGTTTGTAGGTGAGTTAAACGTGATAAGTGTGGCCCAGCCTATCATCTTTCTTTTTCTTTCTGGGTAAAACTTGGATGCTTACGTCCTCACATCTGCTCAATCAAATGTAGCTACTGAAGGTACCTGTGTTGGTCAGTTCTGCCATCAGTTTAGGCTGGAGGTTCACCCTGGAAAATCTTGCAGAGGGTCAGGAGGGTGAGGTCCTAATCTGGTGACCTGGATAGGACCTGACCTGATCCAGGTAGGACCTGGACACTGAATGGGGTTTGGATTGAGCCTGATCTGGACACCTCTAGAAGAGGGGGAAAATATTCAAACACAAGGAGGCCTCTCCTTTTTTTAGTCGGAAAAGATTGGGATAAATGGAGGTGCCAAGACGCTAATTAGTTTGGATTGGGCCTGATCTGGACACCTCTAGAAGAGGGGGAAAATATTCAAACACAAGGAGGCCTCTCCTTTTTTTAGTGGGAAAAGATTGGGATAAATGGAGGTGCCAAGATGCTAATTAATAAACTGAGTCAGTTTGGGTCAACATGCCAACCTGCTGGGTCAGAACCAGGTTGACGTATCAAGACCTGCTGGCAGGTTGGTTCAGGCTCAGTCTTTATTACCCAAGCTCCCTACTTAAAAGCACCTCTTCTTTTAAGAAGATGCCAAACTCGAGTTCTCCATTTTCTCATTATCGTTCATATATATGATTCTGATGTAAATGGAATGTGCTGGGTGATAATTGATCTTGTTTGCAGTTATATGACCTGGTTGCTTTTTCCTGTATATGTTGTGCATATTAATATATATAGCTGTGGTTTCTCTTGGCAGCTTGCATCTAGACGTATAAAATGCATACTTTTTTTTCTATGACTTATTTAGAATGGAGAGTCGAATATTATTCATGCGTGAATTTTTTACTTGAGGGTTTAACATTTGCAGGCTGTGATGGAGATATATAACATGTACAGAGCACAAATATCAGCTAAGAATGAACTTTTACTTTTTGAAGCATTGCACGCTGTGGCATGTCATGCACACAAGGTGAACAGCGATGCCGACCTAAGATCCAAGCTACAGGAGATTGGTTCCTTGACCCAGATGCAGGATCCTCCATTGCTACGCCTTGAGAACGAGTCATACCACTTATGCCTTGTTCTGCTTCAGAACAGCGTTGTGGACCGACCTCTGAATGGTGATGTAGAAGTGGAAGCACACCTTGTTCAACTCTGCAGAGAGGTCCTGGAGGTGTATCTTAAAGCAGCTAAAGGGCAGCCCGTTGTAGCTTCAACTGGCACTCAACCTCGAACTCACTGGCTCATCCCAGTTGGTTCTGGCAAGCGAAGAGAACTCGCAGCTCGGGCACCCGTTGTTGTGTCAGCTCTGCACGCCATATCTGGACTGGGTGATACCCCCTTCAGAAAGAACCTGGCCTTGTTCTTCCCCCTTCTTTCATGTCTGATAAGCTGCGAGCATGGGTCTACTGAGGTACAGGTCGCACTAAGTGACATGCTCAATACATGGGTAGGTCCAATCTTGCTTCGGGCATGTTGAACACGGTATGATGATCTCAATTTTTAGGGCTTTGAGGTGGATTTATGTCAGTTTACTGGATGCTGTTTTGGCTGTTCATTTTTCTTTTTGCCTTCGGAACCTCGTATGAACAGTGTACCAGAAAGCAGAGATGGGGGGAAGATTTGATGTTGTAATCTAGTTTTTCATTCTGTAAATATGTTGCTGGTGGAATGTATTTCATTGTTGTGATGTTTTCCACTTGTTGATCCCTTACTTGCAATCATGAATGATGATTATTTCTGGCATTTCTGCTAAGATAAATCATTTGTGAGTCAAAATTGGCTCCATGGGTTTTCATTCCACTACTTAAATTCTGATGCCCTGATTTAAGAAATATAATAATAATAATAATAATAATAATAATAATAATAATAATAATAATAATAATAATAATAATAATAATAATATCATGATATAATAATATCATCTGTGTGATGAATATTTGTGCTTTTCGATTTTGTTTATGTTTTAGCCATCAAGGTTTGTAATAGGTTTGATAATAACAAAGATGTTTGATGTAATATTTATGTTTATTTGATTTTGTTCATGTCTTAGAAGATATATTGATTGAGTTTTATGGTATTTTGCCTTATAAGCATAGCTTGTTGCTTGTGCGTGATTGTCTCAAAATATTCTCAAACTCTTGAAACGATTGGGTTTCAAGAGTCTTTGATTGTATGTAAATTGAAGGATATTTAATGAGAAAAAGTGATAAAAAAAATATCAATCATCTAAAAACTTTTGAAACTCTTGTGTTGCATGTGGCCAGAGGGAGTTTGGATAGTGTCCAAGGATAGGTTGTTGCTCGATTTTACGATAGTATCACGTAGGTATCCAAGGATAGGTTGTTGCTCGATTTTACGATAATATCACGTAGGTATTTGTGCACGATGGTATACTTTGGATCTTTGTTGTTTGATTATGCAATAATGTCATGTAGGTATTTGTGCGTGATGGTTTATCTTGGATCGTTTTGTTATACGATCGTCGTTTAGAGATCGTTTTGTTATACGATCGTTTAGAACTTGCAAAGTCTATCTTTACATATTGTAATATCTTTTAAGTATTTGTTTTAATATTTGCACATAAAAAGTATTTGCTTTAATATTTGCACATAAAATCTTGAGTTTACACATTGACGGAACAACGACAATAATTTGCTTGTGAGGTTACGAAGAGGTTGATCTAACTATATGACTTAAACATGACAATTCGATATCAAAAATCATAATTATATAACTTTGATTTTATCGAAAATCACAATCCCGATATCAAGAATAATCACATGTCCCTTTCTTTTCAAATGCGCACCGCAACCTCTTGGATCAACACGGAGCTGCTGGATGTGATGGGCATATATATATATATATATATTCTCATGTCTGGTCTCCATTGTGAATAAAATATAAGAAATGCATTTAATGTTATTTATATAATTAAATTCTGTTTATAAAATAACATGTGATATTACTTATATATAATTACTCGTACCAACAGCTCGGCCAATCCATCAACGCACAATGAACTCACACATTATTCTAAGATAAAGCTGCACTCGACCATTAATTCTCTTTCAGCCATCAAGCACAAATTGCATCAGCTCTCTGAAGCTCGTCAGTATCCATGCCACAATAGGGGGCAGTAGAGAGCAATGAGATGATGTATGAAGAACAGTTCATTTGATTGAGAAAAAGTTTCCTTGAAGAAAAGAAAAAGGGATAATAAACCAACTGCCCAGAAAAAGTTACTACGACCTGCCAGTTTGCTATGCAATCATATGCTCTTTTTGTCTTGGCATGCTAACACAAGTTTCAGACTACAAGCAGGCACAATTTTTACATGTACACTAATGTTACACTTGCCAGCCAACTTCTTTGGGTTAATGACATCCACCGACATCAGAGGTAACGGGTTGAAGACGATCCTAAACCCTGCTGCAACAAAGTTGGTGACAATCTTTGCCTTCAACACATAGTTTTGGTCCCTAGTTCATGGTTGAAGATGATCGAGAGTAACGGGTGATAGAAAATGCACGGTTGTGTCACAAAAAGAAACCTTCATCATAGTCTGGATCGATCAGGACCTGAAAGGACAAGCTACATCCCCCATAGTTGGCTTCGCGGTTGAGCTCAGCTGAGAGCATCAAGTGGAGTCGTCTGAGCTAGAACTAGAGGTTTCAGTCCCACCAGCATGTGGTCCGGCCACTTGGCTTTCGTCCTCGCTGAAGAGGGATTCATTGCCCTCATTGCTCGAATGAGACAATGCGGCAGAGTAATAATCTGAAACGGCAGCTCGGCTCCGCCTCTTCCTACCCTCCTCCATCACACCGGTTCCTCGTAGCTCAAGCCGCCTACGCTTCCGCGCATTGCGTTTGCGCTTTGGAAAATCTTCTCTATGTGAGTCCACTGCGTTGTCTTCTTCCTTTGAAGCTCTGGTCCTTACTTTTTCATTTTCAGATTCAATTGTTGCCACGTCAGGGTCAACCTCGGCCTTCCTCCTCTTCTTGCTTGAATTTGTCTGGAACAAACGATCCATTCCGTTCAATCTTCAACAATTTTTTTGCAAGCACACAAGAAAAAACACACACACACATCTGGAAAACATGATTTAGCTCGTCATGGAAATTCATATGGAGGAAAAAAAAAGCACAAGATGGTGTCCATGCAGCAAAATTATCCATGTTTAACAAGAGAGACTTTTTTTTTAGATAAACCAGATACTGTAAATCAATAATTAAAAAATATTGATGAAAATTACACTCGCATGGTGTATTATACCCACAGATTGCAAATGCATGATGCCTGAGGCATTATGAGATGTGTTGCATAGTTTGATGATCCGGAAAAAGCAGTTAAATATCAGGGTGTTTTTGGTAATATGAAAAGAGGCTTGGAACTGGAATTGGAACAGATGTCTTGCATTCCTAATGTTTGTAAAGGCACAATATTATTATGATTACATTACCATATGAAATATGATTCCCTGTTAGTTGCATTCATTACCCCTACAGGAATTACTCAAGATTCCGGGTTATAATATCTACTGTTTCCATACCTCCCTATACACAGATTTTCTTTCCCCTTAATGTCACTTAGCTTTTTTACCTGTCTTGTCCCTTCTCAGATGGGATCCAAGTGAGAGAACTCAAGCTGTGACTACGATGGCAGGGGCAGAAAGATCCTTTATCAAACACCACAGCATGATAGATCACAAGCTGTGGCTATGATGGCATTCCAATCTTGATCTGTGAACCAAGCACACTTCTGGGGGCTTCCCTAGGCAGTAAGACGAGGAACGAAATAAAATGAAGACAAAAGAGACAAGTCACAATCCCTCAAATCCAAAACCTTGTCAACAGTGGCAATCCCCTTTCTATGTAGTGTCTGGTACTGAAAAAATTGGTGGCCAAAAGAATACAGGCCTCCAAAGTACATTCTCCCATTAATTATCCTGTCTATATTCCGACAAACAAAAAGCCCTTAGATAAATTTGGACAGCAGAAACTCATACTTGGGGTGGCATTTGATACTGTGTTTAATAACATGTATCAAAAGCATTAATCTAGCAATTTCCCTACCAGCCTAAGGAGGACACAAAAAGTCTTTTGCATATTATTAGATGGGAGAAAAATCTTAGAGAACAATTTCTGTATTCAAAGAGCACAGTAATTAAAGCTAAATCTGGATTTCCTATAAGATAGGAATAAATCAAAGCAATCAAAGAGCAATGACCATAGAATGGTCTAATTTTCAGTGAAAAGAAAGCAACATATAGCCATTTAAAAAGATAGGAGCTGAAGCAAAATAGCATGCACCATTCCTCTATTTGATGGTTCAATACCTTAGGACCTTGATCTATTAGATGAGCCCATTCACTCCTGTTCCTCAGACAATCATGGACCGCATGTAAATAACTCGGATAAGCATACCGCTCGCCATTGGGTTTTCTTAAATCATGCCAATGCTGCAAAAAAGAGAAGAGGCACATGAAACAGGACGGTAAAATGGCCACCATGAAGTTCCACTAAGGTGATAGAGTTATTAAACCATACCGGGCGAACAGCATTGCACAGCTCTTCATACCTTATGTGCTTATCTTTACTCATAATCTCGTCTATCAATCCTGCAGGTTGATGTTTTAAGTGAATTTGCATCACTAGACAAATGACACAAGTTGTTTATGAAAGAAATGAAATTGGGAACCTACCAGGCAAAGTGCGCACGATAACACCACCTTCATCTCTAGGAATATCCCTAGGTGAGCTGCATGCTATAGAAGTAATATGTTCACTAACCTCAGATGAGGAAAAAGGATCACTTTTTTCACCTTCACCAGAAGCAAGAGAAATATTCTTTATTAACGCCAAGTCAGGAGGTCTAATCTGTGATTCCTTTTTCTTCTCTGATGAGATGGATGATTGCTGATGTCTCTGGTCTGGAAAAGATGACAACCTACCCTTTTTCCTGCTCTCATCATTTAACTCTTGAGAATTGCGGGTAACATATTTCGATGCATCTTCTTTGTTTTTCCTTCTGAATACCTAAAATTAACTAAATCAATGTTAGTAACCCTAAACTCAGTTTGAAGACAATATTTTGACAGTTCACATAGGAATAGGCATTGAATATACAGTTAAAATAGAAGTTTAATAGAAGAAGCAGTCTCACCGAGACTTGATCCTTTCCCCCAGAAACAGAAGGGCGTTTGGAAAGCACACTCATGCCAGTGGTGGGGGTTGACTGTATGCCAGCAGCTTGCCGCACACGTGGCACCCTGGGAACTCTAGGAGAGCTGTTTAATTCTTGATGCAGCAATAGTGCGAGCTGACAAAAGATGAAAAGAAATTAAGAACCCTGGATAAATAGACTGGTAACTACGTGCAAGTTGTCATCTTACCTCTTCATCACTTAAAGTCGTGGTAGCATTGCTTGATGCAGATGGATGCATAAAAATAGAGGTGCTTAGAACTTTTGAGGAGGTGTATGGAGCTGACTGATGACTTCTTTCAGTTCTCTGAGACAGGTTTGTGGAAGTCTGCTTTATTTGAACAGAAGCTACTTGGGACTGCAATGAACCAGCAATATCATGAGTGCGTAAAACTGCTGTTCTGTCCTCTTTGCCGGAAGCTTTTGAAGATTGAAAAGGCAATTCTTCTTTTGAATCTGATACCAGATGCTCAGAGGCAGAATCATAAGATG